ATCACGCACTAATTGTTAAGATCATATAAGATTATTACTGTTAATTTATACCTACAGCTTTGTAGTTATTTTGAATATGAAATTGTTGTCAAAGCTGATTAATTAGATGTACATATGATCGATGAGTAAGTAAATAATTTAAACAACCATATAGGTAAGTAAAAATATTGGTATGCATAATAAACACTGTCACTCAGTTTGGGTAAATTATTAAAGAAATTCTTATAAAAGAACAGTATACAAAATAAATAAAATTTTTCTGTTAAAAATAACTTATTTCATTAAATTTTAGAGAAATTAAATGAAAAATATTTTTAAAAATTGAATTTTTTTTTTATTTTTAACTTATAAAATATGTTATATTCAATTTTATATTTTTTCTATAAAAATTTCTGCAAAATTTACCTAAATTGAATCTATATCATTAAGCATATTTTGGTTTTTTATTTTCTTTGGACTCCTGTGATGTTTCTTGAGAAATATTTTACAATTTACATCCTACCTCAAAAATGAAAAGTAAGAAAAAGATGTAATATTTTAATAACTAAATTAATAAATTGGTTATTTTACCTTTAATTCTGTTTTAACTTGATTTTATATTTTTTATTATTTTAGTGTAACTTATAAAACTATTTTAAATATTTTTTTAAAAGAAAATGTTAACTCTGTATTCTTCTCTTTAAACTCTAAGTAAAAATATAATATATTTATAATTTTTTTTCTTTTACTTCTCATATGTCTTCGCAGTCTATATTTTTCTCCTTTGAACTTTGTAAAAAAAAAAAATTCTTTATCTTTCTATTTTTTTTTCTTCATACGTTTTATTTACATCTCTTTTTCTCTGAACTATAATAATTTATTTTTTTTTTTCATTCTCTTACTCCCTCACTCATTCATAGTTCTATAACTCGTTTCTTATTCCCTTTAAATTTAAATTTTTCTTTTTTATTAGTTTTTCAATTGAATTATAAAAGAAGATAAAAAAGATATACAGGCAATGATTACAACATCAAAGATGGTATCTCATGTGTACTTGATATCACCTTTGTTGTCTTACTCTTCATCTTCTTCTATAACATACAAATTTTTTATTTTTATTGAAGTTCAAAGGGAGTGAAAAACATTGTGAATAGGGATAAGAGGAGGAAGAAAAAAGAAATTCTTTTTGTTAGAATTTAAAAGGAAAAAAAAGGTATAGATGAAAGGTAAAAGAAGGAAGAAAAATATGAAAAGAAACGAGAAAAAAAAAATTAGAGTTCAAAAAGAGAGAAAAATGGATCCTCAAGACGTAGATAAGAGATAAAAGAATGCAGAAAAAGAAAATAGAAGAAAAAAAATAATTGAAAAATTTGTTAAAATAAATTAAATTTTTTAAAAATATTTTTATAAATTAAAATATAAAAAAAATCAAAGTTTAATAAATCAATATACTAACTTAAGTCTATTTTAATTATGTTTAATAATTCTTTTCTGTTAGTGAACTCCCGACTGTATAATGAAAAAATTGAATTCCTACACTTTTATCATTGAAATCGTAGCTTTTAGATTATATATATATAAAAAGTTATTTTGGAATCCTTTGAAAAAATAGAGAAGTTAAGTTAAATATATTTTGTTTTTATAAGAAATTTTTTAAAATTATTCTTTATTTTGAAGTTATTTTAGATTAAGAAGTAAGGAAAGATAAAGGTTTATTTTATTAAAATTTTTGTTTGGAATTTTTTAAATGTCAGAAAAAGTTTTGATAAGCTCTTTTAAATTTATATTTTAAATTTTGTCAAATTAAAAGATTTTTTATTCTCGTTCGTTTTCCTTTCATTTCTTACTCTTTAAATCTTCTTTTTCTTTCTTCCTCTAGACTTCCAAACAACTTTAAATTTTTAGTTTGATATATTTTTTCTTTTTATTTCAAATCGTAAAATCTGAGAACATATCACTGTAAAATTTTTAATCTTAAAAGTTTATAAAATTACCAATCAATTTAACTTTAAATCTATTTTTTTTTAATTTTTTATGTTAATTATGAAAAAATATTTTAAAATAAACCAAAGTCCGGTAAAAGATTACCTAAATACTATCTTAATTAACTTTTTAACTGAGTTAAATTCAATACCAGTTATTTTAGTATATCATGAATAGACTATCTTAATCTGTAGTCAAAATATTTAATTGAAATAATGGCGTGGCAAATACAAAATGTTTTAATTTAATAGTCTACAGTTAAACTTAGCTAATTAAGAAAGTTAGTCCAAATTGATTAACAGCCAAAGTTTGAATGACTTGCTTTTAAATTGAGTCAAATATACTATGTCAGGTTTATTTAAGCACCTCAACTTACTACGTTAACGCTCCATTATGTGTAGTAAGAAATTATAGTATACAGGTAGCATCTCTTGCACCAACCTCTCTATGATATTTTGACGTCTGCACCAAGTTAAATTGACTATGCAAACATATTTCTATTCCTTCACTGTAAATTATTCACATCCAAGTTTTATATAAGGGATGTCATTAATTTACTACTATTACTATTTGTTTGAGTGTTAAGAGTGCTATATAGAAATATATCCTCACCATTTCTTATTCAAAATATATATCACCAACCTACTTTATTGACTTGAAGAAGGCATTAGGAGCTAGTTATAGGTTGAGCTCATTGAAAATCTACTAGATAAATAATATTACTTTCGTGATTAAAGAGTAAAAAATATTATTAAATTAAAACATTAATATATAACAAAATTGATTTGTATACAATCTATAACATTTTTAAAATTAAAAAAGTGTTTGTATAAACTATTGCAGAGCTATTTGAGATAACTAGTATATATATTATCCATGCTTCAACTTCAAAGTACTTGCTTATATAATTTTCTGCATGTTTTCGTTTCCTGTAAAACACCATCACTAGTTTTATATAATTATTAACACCGCGGCTTGTTCTATTGTTACATTGCATGCCTATAAAGTCATGCTCTTATGCACTATGCTTAAATTGGGAAGTTTGGATCATAAATGTTTCTAGATCTCTCTCCCTCGATCTCTCTGTCTTTATATCATTTAGAATCTAACATGAAATGTGTTAGATTAATGGATGACATCATGAGACTTCATCCACCAGAGTTCATGATCATAAATGCTTTTGATTATATTAGCAAAAAGAATAGGATTGCAATATTGTTTGTGTGGAAGAGCATATCTTCCCAGAGATTTGCTATCTGAATACTATGACACCGAATTTAATTTGTAGAGGTGAGACACTGACATGCATGTTTAGAGCTCCAGAAATTCCCCATTATTTTGTGCTTAATAAATTACTTTTATTAAAAAAATACATAAAAGTATTATAAAAAAAAGTTTTGTTAATCAGTTTTTAGGGTTGAATTTAAACAACTAATAATAGTAAATATTTATTTTTTAAAATATTTATTATACATTTATAACTTTAATATAATATATATGTATTTTTTTATAATTTATATATACTTAATCTCAGTCTTAAGGATTGATATTAAAAAAAATTAAAAAAATTATACTATTTTTAACAATTTGGTTTTCATTATTCTAAGAATATTGATCAGTTAGCATTTGTCATGTAAAATTAAGAAGAATGTAATTGGCACAGCTTGCAATTGCATTGTTGATCAGTTTTTCAATTAACAACAATGTTTTCATTATTTATTTTTATCATATAACTCATCTTACATACTTCTTTCTCTGCATCTCTCTCCTAATTTGTAAACAAATTTTATAAAATGAGTTAAACAAATACAATTTCTCCGAGGACTCACAACCGAGAGAAAGAGAAATTAAAGCAATGATAAACAGCGTAGCACACAGCAATAATCAAAACTTGCTGAATCGTAACTAGCCTTCCATTTACATCTGTCAACTTGCATAATCTTTCTACAAAAATATAAGTCAAAAGACACGCTATGAATTCAACTTGTCCAAACAACAAAAAGAAAAATAAGTACCCACTTAAATTGACCGGTTAATTGGTGGATCAATCTATTTAATAATAAACACTAAAAAATACAAATAAGAAGTGAATATAAGAAATGAAAATGATAAGTGGAAGTAAAGATTAAATAATAATAATAATAATAAAGTTTGAGTTTGGCCTAAAAAAATCAACTAGGAATCTATCCCACTCGATCTGCCACGAGTCGATTTATCTAGGAAGAGTCATGATGACAGTGAATCAATATACATTAACTCAACCAATAAAAAAATAAAAAATAACGGATTAAACAGATTCATACTCATTTTGCTTAGAGACCCAAGCAAAATCTTCCCTTCTTCGGGAGAATTAGTCACTAATTAGCACACATTCTTACGATATTCTTCATAAGGCTGTCTTCATAAGTATTGTACATTTTACATTAAACAATCTTGTCTATAGTGGGTTTATCTAAGTTACTTTGTGAGATACATAACTTTATTTTAAGTGAATTAACGAAATTTCTCTATAAATTTTATACAAATTTTAATATAATATTTCAATTTTATTAATCCGCTTAGCCTGATTTGTAAAACTAGTTAAAAGTTTATAACATGTAATTATAAATGAACTAAAATCTTATAGTCTATAATTAGTTAATTAAATTATAGTTGTTTGATAAAATCGTTATATAATTAAATAGAAAATGTTAAATGAACTACTTAAAATGTTTTTTTTATAAACTTACTTTTAAAAGTTATAGTTTATCCGTTAAAATTTATAAACTCTTTATTATTTGGTTTGCAAAATAACTTTATTAATTTCTTTCATACATAGCTTGGTGATTCCTCCATCCTAATTAACTTTCCAACAACAACTGGTGTCAGATGTGCATGCTTTTCCCCGCCTTAAATGCCATTCCACACAGACAGTATGGAGACAAGTTCGTTAACATTGCCAAGTTCTTTTGCCCACTAATTACTATATAAAAACCTTTCCTTTTGCAAACTCTTCATCTCAGCATCAACACAGTTTTGTGTGCTCCTTGGTTATTAGAATGGAGGGCGAGAGTAAGGGAAGTTTTAATGTGATGGAAGAGAGAAGAGAATTTGTGGTGCCAAAGTGTGGAACTTATGATTTGGTTCTAAGGCTTTTGGCCTTTGTACTAACACTTGTGGCTGCTGTAGTCATTGGGGCAGATAAGCAAACCACCATTGTTCCATTCAAGCTCGTCGATTCTATGTCGCCTTTCAATGTTTCTGTTACAGCTAAGTGGCATTACTTGTCTGCATTACTGTAAGTTCTCTTCTACAGTGTGCTTTTCATTAAGAAAATGTTTTTTGAATTACTTTTCAGAACAATTTTAGTTTTTTATATATATATTTTCATATACGTACATATAATATTAATTTTTAATAATTTAAATAACAGAATTATTCATTTATTTAAATGACAGCATTAGTGTAAGTTCTCTTCTACCTAGCTATTGGCTCTTGTATTCATATATAGGGAAATCAGAAAACCTATATCATATTAAGCCCCCATAAGTTAGCTGATCTTTGTCCACGTGGTGTTAATTATATGAAGGATTTTCCCTTGCTTTGAACACAGTTTTCTTAATTTATTTTCTAAAATATTAAAAATTAATCTTACACGTGTATTATATATTAATTTATTTTTCACTTATATTTGGTTTATATAAATATATAATTCAGATATAAATAAAATATCTTTAATTATCCTCACTGATTATTCAAAAATATTTTACTTTTATTATGAGGGAGATTTGAAAACATGGAATAGAACAAAAATTATAATGAAATGAAAAAGTCTTGTTATATATATTGTTGTTGGGTAACATGTGGTGGAATTAATGGTTTAAGTTGCTTTTGATTTTAGGAGATTTGAGTTATTTCATTTCTTAAAACTTATTTACAATGTAAGTCTCTTTTTTTTTCATAAGGCTTGACTTGATATGTTTAAAAACTTGACTTAGTCTAAAATTTTTTTAAATCATTACAAGTCTAAAATAATAATAAGAATAAGAATGTTATTATTATTTACATAAAAAATCAATTATTAAGTTTAAAAGTTTGTTTTTAAGAAAGTTTGACTCTTTTAATTTAAAACACTTTTAACATAACTTGAGTTACACCGTAAGTCCTCAAGCAACTTGAATGATTTCTATTCTCAATTTTGATAATGGTTAAAAGCTCATTAGTGTTGGTTTATTTTTAAATTGCTATTTTGGAGTAGCCAAAATATATAATGTACATATTTATCATTACACTAAGTAAAAAATGTTTTCTATACACCGAACACTGCAATTAAAATATAGGGGAACAGTTTTACAATAAAATTTACGTGTTTCATACATTAAAGAGGACCATAGTGGCTGTGGATGGAATCTTGTCATAAAAAATAATAATTTTCCAATCATTCGGCAAAAACAAGTTATCACCATAAATGCAGGCATTATACTCACCGTTGCCGATCTATTATTTCATCCAACCATGTTTATGTTATTATTGTGAATTTCTTTTTCTAGGATTAAAAATATTCCAATACCACATTATGAATAATTTTAAATCATGTTACCAAAATAACTATATATGCCGTAACAATCTTTCTAATTGTTAAATAATAATATGAAATGTTTTTATATTTTTAAAGTATTATATATATCTATATAAATATATTTGATCTATTTAATAAAAAAATTGTGTCAAATTTTGAGTCAGCAAAACTTACTTATTGAATTGTGAGCAAAGATTAGTTGTTATTTGGAAATTGATTTAAAATAAAATAAAATAAAATATTATTTGATGATAACTCTTGTTAAAAGTTTTTAAAGGTTAAGGAGAATTTTTAATAAATTCTCCAAAATCCATAAATGTATATTTTTTAAAAAAATTAAATAATTTTTTTAATCTTCTTTCTTTTTTTAGCTTAGCAAAGATGATTTTTGAACTTAAATAATTAGACAAAAAAAAAAAATATTAAGGTTAAAACTTTAAAACACGTGTTCTATAACACGTTTGTTTTAACTAATGTTATTAAGCTGTGAGCAAACTTATTTTTATCTTAAGTTATAAATGATTATTCTTCTTAAAAAAACAGAATGCACTGTGCATTTATGTAAAATATACACGCTCCTTTTATTACAACTTTTTATTTATGATTTTTTTTCGACGTAGGCATTATAGCATTAAAAGAACTGAAAATTGATAGCTCTACCTATGTTTATTTACGTTTTGTTATCTATTATTTTAAATATAATAACTAAAAAGTTATTAAAAACTAGTTGGTAACATGTGTTATATACAATATATAATAAAATCATTTGAAATATTTTTTAAAATTATTTTAATTTAACTTTATAACTATAAATAATATATATTTAAAATAATAAAGATTTAAGAAAATTACATTAGGTATTATAAATTTTAAAACAATTTTAATCTTAAAAATACATGTGATAACCGGTAAAAGAATAGTTTCACTTAATAAGTAGAGTAATCTCATTTGTAATATCAAAATTAAATATAATATTTGATATTATCAATAAATTTTTATGGTTTATTTTTATTTATTTATTTTTAAAAGTAGGACATAGATTAAGAAATATAATTAATATTTGCATTTATATGAAAACTGTGGGTCTAACTAATAAGAGTCTTGAACACATTAAATAAAAATTTAATACATAAAAAAATATGAAAATTATGGTGAAGGTGCATAAAAAATCAAAGTAAGAGTACATTGGCAACAATTTGTCATTGAAAAGAAAAGTCACTTTTAACATTTTAACTAATATATTAATAATACTTGTTAGCATTTTCTTGAAAAGAAATTAACTTTCTATATTATTACGTTCATTAGTATTTTTCTGTTATTTATAATAAGTGTATAAAATATGAAAACATTAAATAAAAATAATATACAACATTTGTCTTTCTTTAAAGTTAATTTTAAGCATATAAAAATAGTAAATTTTAATTAAAAATAAAATTTTATTAAATTTATTTTTTATTGTAAACACTTTTTTTTTAACTAATCCTATTTATTGAAAGTCAACTCTAAGAAATTATTTTAATAAAATAGTTAAAAAATAATAAATAATATTTTCTTAAACTTTTAAATAGATATGTAAATAAATAAAATGTTTAATTTTGGTGCACTAGTGTAAATATTTTTACATTGTCAATTAATTAAATACACTATAGATATGATTTTTATATTAACCATTACAAAATTATCAATTAAAATATTTAAATAAAATCCATAAATAAATAAATAAATAAATAAAAGGGAATACTTTTGACAGGATGACTAACATAAAATGAAATAATTGATGTACTAGGTATTTTGTGGTGGCAAATGCAATAGCATGTGCGTATGCAACAGTGTCTCTGCTGCTTACTCTTGCATATAGGCGTAAAAGCAAAGGTATGGGGACAATGATCACTGTACTTGACGCAACAATGGTAGCTTTGCTTTTCTCTAGCGACGGTGCTGCCATAGCGGTTGGTGTTCTTGGCTTGCAAGGAAACTCACATGTGCATTGGAACAAAGTTTGCAATGTTTTTGCAAATTTTTGTGACCAAGCTGCAGCTTCCCTTTTTATCTCACTTCTTGGATCAATAGCATTCCTTTTGCTCGTGGTTCTTCCTCATGTTATCACACCTAAGCCGACAGCCTAAGTTGCTTTGGATTATCAATTAGTTTCGTGTCACACAACCTTGTTATGTCTGAGAATTAATGTTGCTGCGGTGGCACCCCAAGTCATAGATTTAATCCTAATATGTGAGAGCTATTTATTCAGGAAAATGTGTGATTGGTTTGGATTGAAGCATAATAATGCACGCTATTGCTTATTAATTATTATACATGTATGCACGTTATTATACATCATAACTTTCTATATGCATGGTGGAACTCTTTATGTTTCGGTTTTCTCTCTCAAGTTGCATTTTAAGGGATTGAGAGGGGCATTTAATTCAAAGAAATTAAGTAGTTCAATATTTCGGCATATGAACCTTCACATTTGCTCAATAATCCCCCTCCAGCCCCCTTTAACAAGTTTTCTACACAACTCGTAGTAACAAGATGAAAAGAGATGTTGTTCTAACAAAGGCAGCCATCTAATCATATTCAAATGTCATTTTTACTCATTTAAATTTCATAATGATTATATATAAGTACAACTGCAGCCTGTTTTTGGGGGTGGTTGGGTAGAGGGAAGAGGAACAATGTCATTTTCTGACAAAAGCTTTCTAATTTAATTCCTTAATCAATGCCCTTAACATTTGTCTTTTATATTTCCATCTTCATGTCACTGACCAATACAAGTCAAACTAAGTCATTCTAAATTTACTATATACATATAGGTTGTTCTGCTGCTTCGTTTTTCATATGTTATGCCGGCATGTCCTTGTACCTGTTTCGAATGATTCGCTTTCTTACTGCTAAAAATTGTATATGTAAAACAGTACAAGGAGCATCCAAGATTCAAATGGCATCCATGTATCATAGTTCTCATAACCCACGTTTCTTGAAGAAAAAGAAGTGTCATACTCATATATAGCATTGCGTGCAGAAGCAGCAAAACTTTACCAGGTCAAGGAACCGTATGATCTCAAAAGTAAAACCACCAAAAGCTGCGTGGTTTAGATTATGCTGATAAACTTATGGCAGTGAGCAAAGGTGAAGGAGATTGTTCCGAAAGATAAATGGAATGGTATTTTCACATAAACACATTGGAACAAAAATATGAAGCAACATAATAAAACAATCACAAAGAATTCCTATGAAGGCGAGAACAGCATATGTCTGATTTATGCAAGGAAGAAATCAGTGAGTTTGTTTAATAGATTCAATGGAAATATCAATACAAATCTAGCAAACACAATTACCAGTAGCTCATGATGGGTAAACAGTTTTCCCTATATTACAGTATACACGTTTCTATCAGCCTAATGGCTCATAACAACACCACTAGTTCACTCCAAATGGTGGAGGAAGAATAACCTAAGAGAAGTTTCATTGCATAATACATCATTAATCTTGATGATGAATTAAATAAGGCTCTACAAGATTTGGTAACAAGATCTGTCTCCAGAACCGCAAGAATCTGGTCACTGAGGAAGAACAGGAGGAGCTATAGCACGAGTATTATATGAACTGCAATGACTACATTTATGTCCAATAATGTGGAAGTAAACTTCGGTTGTATCATTACAATCATTGCAGAGTATCCAAACCTGCAATGGATCTTGCTTAGTTTTCTGAAATCTTCTGATAGAACCATGATATATTATGTCATTGATGTAAAAAGCAGGATTCCTAAACATTTCAACCATCCTAAAATTATATAATTGAAGAGCATAACCAAACATTCAATAATCATTTTTTAGACAAAAAAAGTCAAACTCATCCACATTTTTCATTCCATATAAAATCTGCATGTTGTTCATTGCTCTACAAAAGGTGCATTCATACTTCAAAAGCACATTTCATGTCCAATCTTTAGGCTTTCGCAGAAGGAAATGAAATGGAGATAAATAAAGGTAGCATGTATTAACCAAAGATTTCTAAGAATAAAATTTTACCTTTCTATGCCGATAATCATCAGGCATGACAGTTGCTTCAATCTAATAAAGCATAAATAAATAAGTGAGAAATCATAATTGTAGCAGAACATATCTGCCAGTAATAATCTTGACCAAATAATTGCTCAGTATAAAAATCTAGACGTTATAATTTAACCAGCTACCTCTTCATCAATTCTCTTCCATGTCCTTGTCATGTCAATCACTGACTTGGAGCATATGGGACAACAGTATCTAAGCCATATACAAATTCAAGTTAATATTAAAGCAAAGATAACAAAGTTTTATATAGACCAAGGAACTCTCAAATAGTTAACATACTCACTTGTCACGCATTATCATCTCTTGGTAACATTCACAATGCATTGTGTGGCCACATTTCATAACAGTAGTGTCTTTCAATGAGTCAAAAAGGTACTACACCGACATAATGAAATCATATCAGAATACTCATGTTTCCAAAGGACAGAAAGCTAGAAATTATTCGTTAGATTGAAAACGGAGACAGAGAAAGGAAATGAATAAAGCACACACCTCATAACAAATGGGACAGTGATGTCTCATGGAGTTCTCCACACACAAATGATTATCGCGCAGACCAATTGAATAGCAAGACCCTGTCATTATTCACCAACTGATTTGTTAACAGAAAAAAAAAAATAGTTTATTTCAACAACTGATGTTATAAATTATTAGATGTACTGGATACTGGATAGGGAACTGCTCGGTCCTATATATAGGATAAGGAAACCGAGTACCTATTCGATCCAGTTTGGCCGAATACTTTTTGTTATGATTAGAAGGTAATTAATCCAATTAAGAGTAATAATCAGAACATTATTTACTTTAAAATAAAGGGCCAAGATTAAGGCTGACTCAGCAGACCTATTAGTCCATAACGATGCTTATAAAAGGAAGATAGGAAATACAGGTAAAGGGTTGACTTTTCATTATTAAAATAGTATTTATTACTCAGAACCGAATCCTGACTTCAACATCGGAGTGCCTTTTACATGTATCCTCCCTACATCAGCGACAATCAGAAAGACGTCACCGTTTTAGACTTAAGACTAGTGTTTCCATAACAGGAACATTAGATATGACTCCAGATTCTGGTAACAGAACAATCTATCATCGAGAAATTCAGCAGAAATTATATCCCAATTAAAACACACTGTTTATAAGACGCCATGGATCAAGAACTGACTTTCAAAAATATTCTTTTGGCAAACAAAACCCTGAATGCTTTGCATTTGAGGGGCCACTTTTGGCTACTCAAAATGAATTCCAAAGAGTTGTAATGATTAATGAGAACCAACAACAATCAAACCTTATCCCACTTAGTGAAATTGGTTACACTTACATGGAAAAAATGGGCAGCAAAACACTCTTCATACTTAGTGATCCAAATCAAACGGCAATGAGTTCCATTGCATTAGCAAGCACGTGAAATTAGAAATCACAAACAAATATAAAGCTAGGAAGTATAGGAACAATATGTAGGACTAAACCAGCATACACTAATAACAAACCAAGGTTCCATTCCATAGACAAAAAGTTGACTCTGAAAGCTATAAAAATAAAACAAATTAATACCTTAGAAAAAGAATCATAATAAATCAATGGTTACAGGAAAAATGGCAGGGTTAATTGATACACAGCAGTGCTCTTGATCTTCTGATGTCACTAGGAGGCTAATAGCATGTTTTTTTAATTCTTTCAGATCATGGAATATACACTTACCATGCAAACTACTGATTATTATTTAATTCTATCAAATATGAACTTCAGTACCTTAGAGAGATATATGAAGTGGTACTAAGTTCGAGAAATGCAAAGGAAGGAAAAAATTGAATCTGCTAACAATTCGAAACTAACAATGTGCAGCATAACTTAATTTGGAAAAAAAAATGGAATCTTATACTGAAGCAACGATAGATACAATATGGTGATGATTAATGCATACCGCACTTATTGCAGTGGAAAAAATTATCACGACCCCCAACTCTGTTTCCAAATAACACCAAAATTATTAGCATCTCATTAAGTTGGTTAACTTAAGGAAGGATTTACTCAAACACACAGCCAACACACCTGCAGATCCCACAATCATCACAATGAAACTGTTGTTTCCCCGTCTACATAATGGATAACCAATAGTCAGCATCAAATAGAAAACAATAAGATTTAACAGAGTCACAAGCCAGCATCAAAATTCAAATGTCAAATTCTCAGTCTAGTTCATCTCCACGATGTATGAAGAACCCAAGTAGTTCATTCATGTTTGGTTCAACTTATTTTGGAGAAATAATCGCTTATTTCTTTCAGTTTCTCGACTGAGCTTTTAAAAAATAAGTACAATTGTTTTTCTAAATTTAAGGCTTAAACTGAACCACACATGCTGAGTAATACAGTCATATTGAAGAGGCAAAATCTAATCAGATACTGCAGATTTATTCAGTGAACCATTACATCATCATCGAAGAATTTGCAAATGTTGCAGAAATATTCTCCCATTCTGACGCCACAGTTTGTGCAAACTTGAGCAACCTTCAAAAGAAACAATAAGAAAAAACCAGATATAAGATCATAACATAAATTCAAATCAAATTGGGAAAAGATACGCACTGGCTGCTCTGTGTCACAAACTGCACAAACAACCTGAAACAGCAAAAAATTGCAAAAACCATAATATCATCTCATGTTAATATGGAACAGTGCGGAAAATGAAATTCAAGGTGGAACATATAATAATTATTCTTACTTGTTGAACATCCTGGCGAACGAGTTCATGTCGATCAAAAGGGTTGGTAAGTACACTCTAATGAGGGTAATAACACATACCCATATCAGATAAAAGCAAAAAGACAAGATTTTTGAGGTGAAACACAGATAAAAACAAAGGGAGAGAAAAAGAAATACCGTTGCCTCGTTATGGCAATGACGACAGGAGTAAACCTCATTGCAGCATGGAGCTCGAATCCTGCATCTTCTCCTGTAATGCTTGCACCTACAAAAGGTCATCATCAAACCAAGGAATTGGAACCCCATGAAGGGCATGGAAGAATAAGAATAAGGGGTACCCATATCCCATCTTCCCAAAATCAAGACGTTCAAGGAAAGAGCCTTCCATGAGTTGTGGAAGAGAGAGGGAAGGAAGGGAGTTTCCTGAATTGGGAAGATTTCGTTGGAATTGGTTTATGTTGATCCACAAAGGGAAAGTATGAGGAAGTCATTATTATTATTACTATTATTATATAGTTTTTTACAAAAAATGATAATGAAATAGAATGTTATTGTTACCCACTTGGGAGGAGAGAGAAAGAAAGAGGATAAGGTGGTGGTGGGAATGGATTGGCATGGCAGAAGAGGGTGTGATGAATTTCAGCAATAATTAACAGACAGAGGTATGACCGTTGGATGAAGAATGAGATTTGAGATGTGACAGAAGCCCACCAACCGTCACAACTAAACCCTTCTGTTGTGTTGTGTTTCACTGTCTTCTAAGACAATTTAACTGAGCAGTTGTGGCAGTACCATGATATGTTGTTCCCAACTAAGGTCTGAAATGTGCCTGAATCCAAAGCTTTTCTTTTTCTATTGAGAAAATTCCAAAAGATGGCACTTTTTTTTCTTTCTTGAAAAAAATAGTTACCTTGATGTAAGGTATTGTCTATACGCTGCAGAGTAATGCGTATTATTTGACTACAAATTAAAATATATATATAAAAACTTAAAGAAATCCTTATAAAACAAGTAAGCGACTGAATTGTTTGGGTGGACTACGAATAATGTGATCCCACGTCATCATGACCCCACAAGATCTCAAGGGTCATTTGATCAATTATTCATTTATTAATTTTTTTAGGGAGAAAATAAAAATTACTATGGGTTCTGCCGTGTTTGTTTACTTGCTTATTGTTGGGCGTCGTGATCCACAAGCCATCACGGCAAGTTTATGATCAAGTAGCACCCCATCATGGATTTTTTTATTTATTTATCAAATTTTTATGTGTTATTAAGAACCCATACATTAAGAAATTTAAACTTATAATTTTTCATTAAAATTTATAACATTTAATGTTAATAATACATTAATTCTATAATATTTTTTAATAAAATTTTACTATACATTACTTTTTATTGTATGTCTTCAGACATATATTAAGAAATTGTTTATTTATTTGTTTAATTGTTCATTTGTTGAGAAACGTTGTGACATGGATTCTCTCTCTCTAATTTACTTTCTGGTTTGCACTCTGTTCCAATGGCTTTTTAGTTTATATCCTTTTCTGGTTTGAATAGAGGCAACCAATAATCCCTCTTTCAAAAATTTGGAACCCATCTTTATTATTATCAACAACTCCATTTTGTTTCTTTTCTCTTCCCAGTTGAGCCAAAGTCCCACACTCTGATGTATTAAGATAAATGGTTAAATAAAAAGTCAGTGAAATGAGCACTAAATGTTAATTCCTGCGTAATTATATTGTATTGTGAATGTTGAAAAAATTGCTTATGTTTGGAATGTTAAATAATGGCAAAATTACTTTAAAAATTTCATGAATTTTGATCTACTTTTATTTTCTAAACCCTATCCATTGGGTTTTGTTGATAATTGATTTTAATATAGAACTATAGAATAAAATAAAATAAAGTATAATTTAGGCAAGCTCTTGAAAAAGTACTTATAAGAAAAAAAATTAATATAAAAAGTGAATAACTTTTTTTATAAATTAAAAAATAATTTATATTTTCAAAATTTTGCATAAGTTAAAATAGAGAATTTCTAAAATATAGAGAAATATAAATTTATTCTATTATTTAATTGTTTTAATTTTAAATATTGGCTCTTTCCAATGAAAGGTTGAATGACTATTACATATGTCAATATTTTAAAAAAAAAATTCACTCGAGATTATTTAATTGTGCAACATGTACTACAGCACGGGTTTTGATATCAGTTCTTGTAAAATTGTTTGATTTGGTCACACCTTAAACCATATATCAATAAATATTGAAGATACCATGTGGTTTATTAGTAAAATAAATTTTTATAATAATTGGTACACATTTTTTATTTTATTTGTCTGATGTATCACTTGTCTTATCTCACGATTCTCTCTTTCTTTCAACCATGCACTGTACTCATGACAGAATGTGTCACCCAAATAATACCATTTCCACGTCCACATGAGTAATCATGCTGTATTACAAGCATCTCATCCCAAAATAATTTTGCATTGGAACTTGATCATAGATGAAATAATTAAAGTTTCCGCCCAAGTTCAATGCATGTATGAATGGATCCGCATACTATGCAGTTTTGAAAAATGAGTGAAATAAAATTTATTTAAGTAAATTTAACAAAAATAATTTTAACTTAAACAAAATAATTTGCTTAATCAAATTTAGTTAAAAAGTAATTTTTACTTAAGTTAAAAAATTAGCTTAAGTTAAAATTACGAAAAATTTTAAATTTTTTTTCAAAATTGCAAAAAAGTTAAAAAAAATTTGTGTAAAATCATGTGATCACATTTATGTAAATTTTTTTAACTTAAGATAAAATTATTTTTTTGTTAAATTTATTTAAACGAATTTTAACTGCAGGCTACAGTTCTCTCCAAAATTACTGAAGATTTAGATGAATCAGCCGTAGCACGACTTATTTAAAAGATTCTAAAAAAGTCATGTTTATCATTCTTTACCAACTACTCAATTTAATTTGATGTACTTTTTTAATGTTTGAATTAGAGATGATAAAGCGAGTTAATATGTTATGTCTATTTTTCAAAGTAGTTAGACTCAATATTCTATCCAAACTTCTTTAAGGATGAGTAACAATATTTTATATTAATAACATAAAAATTACTAAAAAATAGCTAAATAATATTTTTTTATATTAATAAAAACTAATATTTAACTACTAAATAATTATATTATATTTATTGACCTATGCTGACCCGTTATTGGCCTACATTTGCCCACTATTTTTAGTAGAATATACGAGCTGATCCAATGGATTAAAGTTCACTTTGCCATCCTTAGTTTGAATAGGGAGACTCATCTTATACTTTATCATGTTTAGTTTGATGAAAGTTTTCAGGAGAAAACTTGGAAGGAAATATACATTCAATATGTTATGTGCAGTTATACATATATATTTTTTTTTTATATTTTATTTGTTATTCAACATCATCATCGCAAAAAATATGTCTTCCTACCCTTAAAACTCTCCGAGCTTGCATAGTTGTACCAAATGCCATTAAGAAGAATTCCACCAACTTTGGACATTATATTATCCTTTTCATAATTCGATCATAATAATAAACTTATGATTTTAACTCTTGCAGGTGTGTCGCAACAGCTGAATGTCTGCACCATTTGGTAAAATTTTCGTTACCATTAAGTCTTAATCTTGGTTACTGTTGCCCAGAGTCTTAAAGATACTAGTTGAAAAATTAAAAGAGAATTCTTTTATAAAAATATTATAAATACACTTCTAATGTATTCTTAACATAATTTTAATAATTTTTTTTTTATTTCTTAATCAGCTTCGAACACTAGTTAGCAAGATTCCTTAACTCTTCTTGAAAATGGTGTGTGCAATCCATGTGTTCAGCAGTAATCTTATTTCTCTGTTGTGCTAAAACAACAACGTAACTATTTACTAAAAATAAAAATAATGTGCTCTTGGAGCAATTCATGAACGGTAGTAACGATCACGCAAGCAAACTTTCAATTGAAATTTGTTGTATAAGCTAAATCTTCAATACAAAATAGCTCATAAGCAAAATCTTCATAACGGCCTAAGAAATAATCAAAATCAAACATAAGCATATAACAGCCTAATTATTTTCTCTCATGATTTTAGTGAACCTACAAAATCTCAAAATTGCCAATTTTAGAAAGAAGGGAACCGAAAAACAGATAACAACGTTACATGCCTAGGCCTAGTTACAACCAATTCGTATTGTCTTTTTCCATCAATGAAGGCAACTAGTTGCCAACACAAAGCTCCAATTATAGCATAGAGAAAAAAATAGCTGATTCCAATGACACCTAATTACACCCATGCAAGCCATAGTTCCAACGTTAAACCATAACAACACAAACCCCTTTCATCTTTGCATATTTTTTTTTCCTATAAAAGAGAAAGTTAATCATTCCAACATTCAAGTTTCCTTCTATTTCTCTGTGTTTACCTTACCTCAAACATTTAACACAAGTAGAAACAATAAATAAATAAAAGAAATGGGTTGTGGGAAATCCAAACATGATGTGGCCTCAGGAAACGCTGTCCTCCAACGCAAGAAATCCAGTGCCAAATCCAAGGCAACCCACGAAAATGGGACAGAAAGTAAAGACAAAAGCAACAACAATGTTGACAATGTAAGTTCTGGGGTGCAAGTGGAACGGAAGGAAAGTGAAAGTGTCAAAAAGTTTGGTGTTGAAGGTAAGGGTGATGAAGTTAATGATGTCAAAGACGAAGCTGAGAAAACAAATGTGCAAGATGAAGTCAATGATATCAAAGGTGAAGCTGAGAAAACAAATGTGCAAATGGATGAAGTTAATGATGTAAAAGGAGAAGCTGGGAAAACAAATGTGCAAGTTGATGAAGTTAATGATGTCAAAGGTGAAGCTGAGAAAACAAATGTTCAAGTAGATGAAGTTAACGATGTAAAAGAAGAAGCTGAGAAAACAAATGTGCAAGTTGATGAAGTTAATAATGTCCAAGGTGAAGCTGATAAAACAAATGTGCAAGAAGAGAAAGAAGCTGATCAGGCTGAAGAGGGAAAGACACAGGAAACTGTTGCTGCTGAGGAACAGTCTGAGGAATCTGTAGGAGGAAAAGATGATTCATTGAAAGAGAATGATCAGAAAATCAATGATGCTGATACTCCTGTTGCTACAGAAGAGAAAATACCAGCAGAAAATGAAAAAGGTTTAGAAAGGATAAAATGAACCTTAATAATTATTCCCTTGAACCCTTTTGTTATTTTTGAAAGAAAAAAAAAATCTTCAAAGATGTTAAGAATAAGTTGTTGACTAAAATTTTAATTTGCTTTTATATGTGCACAGACGTCAGTGTGAAGGAAGAAGACAAAAAAGACACAAACGTTACAACCACTGAATCTGAAGGCGAGGAGAAGGATTTGAAAGCTGAGGTATGTGGTGTAAACAAAAGCGCCCATGTTAATAAACAATCGCGAATGCTAATTAAACATATTTTTTTAACTCATCAATACAATTTTTGTAATTGACTAATTTTTTTAAAAATTTAAAATAATTTTTAAAAAGTACTCAATATTTATTAGATAAGTATTTTAACATTTTTTTTAAAATTAATCATAAAGTGTATTAAAAAGTGTGTTTGAAAAAATGTATTATTGGTCTTTAATAATTAGTCAAGTGATAATTGTTTTTAACAAGGGAATTAATGGAAAGGTGTTTGTGCTGCAGAGACAATAGAGAATCCAACAAGCAGCAAAGAGATGAAGAAAATATGATATTAAGGAAAGTTGGAGTAAATACAGAAAGTCAGAAACCATTTTGGTTGTTTTGAAAATTAATGTTGTTTCCATGCAAAGTTGGAAATAGCTAAGTTGAAGTGTTATGTATGCATGTACTTAAAGTGATAAGCTTTGTTCATCTATGTTGATCTTGATCTTCCATTATATAATGAAAAGTTGGAACAGTTATAGTACTTTCATTTCCATCCTTCGTTCTTTTCTTATGGGGACCTAAAAAGTGGTTATTCTATTTTGGATATTCTGTATCATTGAAAGCATAGTCACGGTGCAACCAACAACAATGTCATTGGCATATCTTTCATCACTTGTGAAATCAGATAAATAAATGAAATTTCTATTAAAAATTTCAAGAGAAAGACAATTAAAAAATCGACCCCTTTACTATAAATAATTTATGAACAAAAATAAGATCCTACCCACCAAAAAAAAAAATTGCAGTGTCATCAAGGAGGATGGGGGCTCTATAACCCTTAGCAATTAGTAGTTGTACCATCAAATTTCTTATTAGTTTTTTAAAAACATGTTAATATTACCCTCTTAAATTGATTTTCAGTATCTAAAAATGGTAAAATATTATTAAAAAATAAATATTTACTTTATTGTAAATATAAAAGTATAATTAATATTTTTTAAATGAAAAATTATTTTTTATACTTAAAATTAACTCAGTTAATATAACAAAACTGTTCATTATTATTTTACTCAATGATTTGTGTGATCAATTTGGTAGAAAGAAATAATAAACTCTTACGTGAAATTTAATTTATATTTTTTTTGTCATGACATAAAAATGTAAATTGATTTATTTAAAATCAAATACAAACATCAAAACAGGCCCATTATCGATCAATACGATTTTAATGAGTTAATAACCCTAGTCATTTTAATTTCTTGTGCCAATTTGAACTATACTTTCTGAAGGGAGGCATTTCTCAGAGTCCTAATGTAAGCTTACAAGATTTATTTTATTTTGAACAAATTTGAGGCAATTGTCTTTATGATATGTATGGAATCTATTTCATCCAAGGAGTGAATATTCTTACGTTGATTCCCAACCCCCACGCAGCCCCATTAAAATCAACATATACAATCCCCATCCAAAGAAGCAATGTGCAAATTTTATATCGACATTATTATAAAAAACAAAATCATATAAATTAAAGAAGAGAAAAATAGGTACGAACCTTGCACTATCATGCACGAGAGAATCTATTTCCATTTCATCCATTTTGTGACTCAACATGTTTTATGTTGCGATATTGTTTTGCCAATCTCAAATAAATCCACAAAATATTTGAATTGATAATGTAAAGACTATTTCCAAACAACATTTAAAAAGAAAAATAATTAGCCTAAAATAGAAGGAAAGAGTGAGGACAAAAAATCCAAATAAGTTTAAATATAAGAGAAACAAAAAAATAAAATAAAACTATGGAAATGTCAAATGGGTAGAAGAATTATTACCCCAAATGTCGTGTGGAATTCAGTAGAATTGGAAAGTGAATTGTACACTTAACACAGTATCAAGAATTATTAATCATATACACAAGGATGGGCATATACAAGAGTTCAAGACTATACAAATTCCTTCCACCTCGAAGCCAATTTCAATAAAAAATTTCAACTGTATGGTCCACGCCATTTGGAAGGACCGTGAAGAAAGTAAAAATCTTTAGTATAACGGTCCCACAGCAAATCTCTGGAACCTATCATGCAAGATATATCCCATCCCACTTCAATCAACATTAATGGGATTTTCCTGATTGTCGATCTCTCTACTCAATTTGATGAGGGGAGTTGCAGGATCTCTGGACAAGATAAAGTTTCCTCTTGAATCTTTTATGCTAGTATTCTGAATATGAGGATCCATAACAATTCTGCATGATCCTGGTGTATCTGATCCCATGTCAACGCCATAATAGGTTAAGTGATCAGTAATGCTATTCCCACTCACCGACCTGCATAAGATAACCAAATCAAATTTCAGTAGCATTCCATCATAATAGTTAATACCAAAATTAAGGGAAACTCTAAATTTCACAACACTCGTGCAGTGGCAAAATTTTCAATGAAGTCTAAATTTACTGTGGCATTATGACAGAACAGATACACTAACCTGCTGCAAGTTGGATCCTCACCAGATCCATCACAAATCTTCTCAACGCTGTACACAAGACTACCAAATCCAATGTTGTAAAGCCATACCTGCAGTACACAATTTCTTAGGTTCCTGAACAACTAGAAACAAATTAAATAAGTACCACAGGATTGCATATTCCTAACTATATAAATAAACCAAAAGTTCTTGTGTTGTCCAATCAACAAATAAGCTAACAGACAAGGCATGAAATAGATGTATTAAGAGCTTGGAAATAGGAACTTCAATCACATTGGTGGGCTTGTAGAAGAGAGAGATGGTATCTTAAATTAGGTCACACCAAAATGATACACCAATACCAAACTACAATTGTCACTGCAAATTAGCTCAACCATTATTTCTAAAGTTTTTTAAAACTTGCTTTCAAAACTATTAGAAGTGATGAAAAGTGATTTTATTTTAGTAACAAATAAACACAGAATTTGAATAAGTAGGGATAATATGGCTGCAATGAAGGCAATGAGAGTTATTAACTTATTATGAATATAGAGAAGCAAGTTGTAATTTGTAATACAAATAGGTGCAATTTAATGTATTAAAACAGATGTGCAAAAATTGTTCAGTGTACACAAAAAATATCTAATCCCCACCAATGGAGAAATAGCAGATGACATGGCCAGTCATAACTTTCCACATAAAAGCATGCAAACTTATTTTAATTTAAGCATAATATAATAGGTATAATATTCAAATTTCATCATTTCATGATGCCATCCCTTACCTCTCTCGGGAAGTGGCGGTATGTCTTTTGTGGTAAATAATAGTAGTATGGAGGCAAATGGGGAACCACATCATGGTCATTTGTGATTCGGAATGTATTTGGAACTAGTTTGTGATAGAGAGATGCAAAAGCAGCATTGCCAATACGAGGTTGTCCAAATGTCATAACCTGAACATTTTTTGCATGTTGATTTACCTGCAAGAATGTAAAATCAAAGCAAGTAACTATTTCATCCTTAGAAAATAGAAAAATCTTGAAATGACTAAATACAAACTTAAATAGTGATCTTTACAGAAAAAATAATAGAAGTTTGCAATTTGGACTTTGGACATTACTTGGAACAGGTTTATAAAGATTGAAAAACATCCAAAAAAAATCTTTAATGAATTGGGTGTTAAAGCACCAAGTCAGTTCAATTTCAACTTTAACTTTGAATTTTGAACTTATATGCTTCCACCAATTCCAAAATACACAAGTCAGATTTAAATGAAGAACCCATGGAACAGACCAAACAACCCATTATTTTTCCCAGATTACTTGTCCCACACTATGGTTCATTACTAAGGCCAATTTAGATAAACTTCTTGATAAGTACTAATAAAAGTAAAAAATCAAGTAGTAAAATGAATCAAACTTCTCTCATAAGTTAAAATCAACTTGTGCTTTTCTATTTTTTAAAAGCTCTCTCATTTAACTTTTCTAAAACTTATGAAGTATAAGTTACTTTTAACTTATGAGAAAAGTTATATTCATTTTTTATATTGATTTTCTTCTTTTATAAGGACTTATCTAGTAGTTTAAATTAATTGGGCCTAAATGTGTAATTATAGAAAATACAAAATGTTTGAATAATCCCTCAGCACAAATAACACAAAAATATAGAAAATACATAAAAACTGTTGAACGAATGTCAAAGAAAGAGTTTAAACTCTGTTTAGATGTGGTTCTATTTCCGACCAAAGGGATTGTCCTAAAACAATGACATGAACTAGAAGTTATTTTTTCAAAACAAACTGAACCAACCCAATTCTTGAATGTGATGGAAACAATGTGACAGTTTCACTTAGATTAATCAGTTTGATTAATTAAGTTCAATAAACACCTACTTATCCATCAATCACTTAAATGATTATAATGCCATTGAACTCTATCAAAACACCAAATTTCCAGAAAAATCAGTTCCACAGTAAAGTCTTTTTATAATGGTTTTCCTGAAAATTTTAGGCTTCTACCCCTTTTAAACTATCTTCCATCTGATCCGCTTTATCACTAGATCTTCTGCTGGTCTCCTTCTCACATGACCAAACTAGGACTATCTTAGGGAAGTTTCCATTATTTTCTCCTCAAGTGTTGCTACTCCAACATTGTCAATCCATAACAAATGATTTGACAAGATTTTATATTAGCCACCATTTACGTAATACCACTTTTACCCAAGCCCGTGACCAGCTAAATAAATTTCAAAAATTAAAAAAAAATGGTGATCAAATATGATACTTCCAGAAGAAATCCAAATCCCCTGCCTGAGGCAAATTATAGACAACACTTATGCAAAGAAGTCAGAATTTCAGACAGCTAAAATATAATTACTGTTAAATCAAGTCCACAAAATGAAGCCATTGCCCCTCCCATTGAATGTCCTGTTGCTATAATTTGAATATCTCCATAAAACTTTTTTGCTCTTTCAACGGCATCTAAAATTGCAGGTCGAATTGTTGTATTGTGGTAGGCAGTATAAAAACCACGGTGTACCTGGAGACAATGATAATAATATATCAGAAATAACACCAACACAGAGCATAAACTGAGGCTAAACATTTCACAGCACACACCATTGCATCATCCATGCCAGGATAATTTATTTCATGCTGCTTCCAATATAAATCTTCAATCCAATTCTGTAAGCTGTTAAAAATGGTTACAAACAAATTATCTCAGAATAAAACTCAAGTTGTGTCAAAGGTGAGCCATACATCTGATAGACTTGAACTGTTCCTTCTTACCATGTATTTATGAACAAAATGTTTTCTCCATAGGAAAATAATTGGCTCACTCAAATGTCACCATATAAGAGAACTTATGTTCTCCTACGAAACACAAAAATCTACAATTTACAAGTTCTAAATCATGGCTGGCAAAACATGCTTTCTTCATATACAGATAATTATGCTCTGACTCTCTCAAATGCCAATAAATGAGGACATATGCTGTGTCCTAAACACAACAATCTACAATGTACTAGGTCTCAAATATAATTGGACACGTGGATAAGCCATCTACAGCATTTCAAAGCTGAAGAAAGTTGCTGATCAATTTGGATGAAAGAAATGGCATGCCTGGCGCACATTAATATGGAAACAAGACATATTACTCAGCCACCAATGCTTTAAATATTCAAGATGCAGTTATGCCAATAATACATTGCATACACAGTGAATCAAATTAAATGCATTTTCTTAGCTTACAATTACATATGCTTGCACATGAGCATCATATAAAACTGAAACGCATAAGTAAAACATTCTTTCTGGTTTCTAAAATCAGTTGGCATCTGTGTCTAGGCATCACATTGAACAATACATTAGAATAGATCCATTTTAAGGGCACCTATACTATTATGTGACCAAAATGCAACAAAAAAGAGCTAAGCCAGTAAGTAAATCCACCTGCGTTCATTTGTTCCTCTGAATGCAATGATAATGGCATGAGGATCCTCAGCCACTCCAACAAACGCCTAGAATAGGAGAGATAATTACATAAAAATAGAGTACATTATTACAAAGCTTCTACCATTTCTATGGTTGGTTTTTAATATGGCGAGGTCCCCTTTCTATACACCGGGCCCCAATAGAAGTAATTAATGAGTAAAAGAGAAAAAATTAAGAGACTTAGTAATCATCAGTTTTATAATTAAAACTTTACAGGAATGCTTCTATAGTGAGAGTTCACCCACCTGTAAGCAATGCTCAACGTCAACAACCAACTCTATAATTTCAAAACCCTGTTTCCATTTTAAAGAATATTAGACCAAACTATCTTAAAAGGAGAGACAAGTTAATCAAACACTATAATGTAAATAATTTCAAGCTCATTCATGATTGAAGTGAACATGTAAAGTTAAAAACAACATTCACAATTTCAGCACCTTGGTCAAGTCATAACACCTAGAGCAAGTCCAAGTAAAAAGTTCTGTCAAATCTGACAAGTATACCTGCAAGAACCAAACCTACATCAGTCCTTTATATAATTCATACAGAATTTTCACACAGAACCCTGAACAAACAGGAGCTAGGCTAATTCATGTAATGCGATTTCAGATTCACTGCATCAGGCTACTGAAATTAGCTAAACTCAAGTTATTATGATACACTTCAATAAATCCCATGTTGACTTATTTTGACCAAAGTCTGACCAGGATGTGTAGTCTCTCCATCAGGATTGGCATATTAGAAATTCCTCAATTGTTAAATCAGTTTAGTTCTGCAAAGCATGTATAAATTCATTGACTTCCTCTATCAGTAAAAGACAGAGGATATGGTTTAAAGTGGCCTACTTAAAGCCTTCCTGAGTACTTATTTTGGAATTCTTATAAACATGAAAAACTATATATCAGAATCAGACTTATAATTAAAGCCATATTATCAAAAATTGCTTAAACAAGAGACAGTTGAAACTCGAAAGTTTCATTACAATCCCAAACTCATGACCAGTCCTCGACGATAAGATTGGAAAACAAATAATACACATAAATAATTACAAATCCTCTGCCTACACATTGTAAAGGTTGAGCATATAAAATTTTCATAGAAGTAGAACTCACCGCAGAAGCATATTCCACTAATATTGTAGCAAGTGTATGATTGTACTCGTAATAATTCCTTCTATGCCTAACCTTGAATTCTGAAAATGGAAAAGACATTAGCAAATTACAAGTGTAAATGATCCACAAAACTATGATTCAAAATATAATTTCTTTGTGTCTCACGACTTCATATTTGGTCATCTCTGCAAAAGACTCATCAGCAAATGCAAACCATTCATTAGCTTTTTCAAAAACAAAAAAAAGAAAGAAAGATCCTGTTGATTGTGTTTGTGGCATGCATAAAAGATCAGATAATGCCCCCAAATAATTACCACGGATCAGACAATGCTCCCAAATACGCATCACGCATCCATTATCTACACCAGTAAAAATAAAAGGGCATACCTTAGAATGCCACACAACATGATCCACTTCCAGGTCATACCTTTTAAATTGGGTATTCTGCTATTGAATTAGATACAGATAAATTCATTGCCCCATGTTTTGTTTTGTGAGTCCCAAAAAATGGAAGCAAAATAACACCATGCCTAGCCTAGGGTAACTGATAGTGAACATCCTGGAGGTCTCAGCCCACTACTGTGCAGATTTTCCCATAATTTTTCTGACATTAATCCAACAACCACCATCAAGCTAATTGGGCTTTATTTCCTATTACCCTATTGGTTTTATTTCCTTTTCTGATCTCTTTCAAGACAAAACCCTAAGCACCTGCCTCTGCATCCTATTCAACATCATTGATAGACACATAAAACTAAATAATCCAACGAATATGAAAACAGCAGAGAAGCATAAGTGATAAAGCATGCAATATTGTAAATCGAAAAACATTAACACACAAGTTCAACTCTTACCTCTACTATCAGAAAAGGCAAACAGGCATAGAAAGGTAACCAATATCAACCACCTAGTTTTCCCCATATACTCTGCAATTGAAGTACAGAAATCAAAGGAAAAACGAAGTAAGTCAATTTTATAAAAAGAAAAGATCAATTACTTCAACACCCAAAATAGGTACTCGTCGAATTAAAAATAAACAAAAACAAAGGAACACGTTCCAAAAGGAAACAACATTTAGCGGGAAATTGCATAGTTGAGTAAAATACATGTGCAAAAGGAGAAGGGCGTAAAGAGGATCTGAAGCCTGAGCCGCAAAGTTTGCACGGTGAGTTTTCCGGTGAAAGGGTTTTTCCGGCGAGAAGAGAGGAAGGACAAGTCAACGAGTCATAACAATAATTGGGGTTTTGGAGAAAAGAGAGGAAGAAAGAGGGAAGAAAGAGCTGGGGCAAATACGACGTCGCACGGGTTGTTTTCGTCATTACTTTGCCGTATTCGAGCTCTCGGGGCTCATCTGTCGCGTATTTGCCACGTGGAAAGATAAGATTGCGTGTTTTACTGTTCGTTCTGTTTTTATTAAATTGGATTTAGTAAAAATTTTTAGAGATTAAATTTTATAATTATATTTTAAATATTAATATATTCTTTTGCATTGAGTATTATTAAATTGAAATAATTTTTTAAATAAAAATTAAAATTATTATATGTATTTTTAAATATTTAATATTTTTTATAAATTTATAAAAAGAAAAAATAATTATTAAAAGTAATACATGAGACTAAATTAAATTTAAATTTTTTTATTATTTATACGACTAAATATATATAATGAAAATATAAACTAAATGAATCAAAACTAACCCAAAATTTTACAATAAATAATCATAAAAATAAATTTCAAAGTTGTTGTCGTGTAATTAAAAATTATTAGAAAAATTCCAGTATATTAATTTAAGTCAGTAAAATTATTAATTTTTATCATATTTATAAAGAGACTAATTGTTATACAATTTTCTTTGTTAAATAAATTGGTAATATTTTAGATGAAGTGTTTTATTATTTTTTTTCTTTTGGTTTATTTTGCTTAAAGAAGATAATTATATGAATTTTTTTATAAAAAATAATTTTTACAAATTTAAATTATAAAATAATATTTTTTTCTTGAAAAATTACTCAATATTTTTAAAATTTATAACTATTTAAATTAATGTAGTTACGCATGCTTAGAATAAACAAAAAAACTATTTCTTAAAAAAATTAAAAAACAATAATTACTTCAGGAATAACATGGTTGCACCATTGGACCAACTAATACTTAATGAATATTATTGGAAATCTATGTTAACATTTTAAAGTTGGAGTTTGACCTTTTTCCTGTGAAATTACTGTGTTGCTCCTATTGATCTAGATCATCTTGAAATATTACTTTATTATTTGAACTATCGTTTATTCATAATTTGTTTTGCTTGATAATGTGACTCTCTTTTTTGACTTTTTCTTTCAATTGCAGCAATTGCTTCCTCATCTACGTTACATTTTCTCTTTTGTTTTCTCTTTCACGCAACTTCTGGCACGTTTCAAATTCTTGCACTCAAATTCCAAATTTCTTATTAATTTTACTCTTCCATGCTAAAGCTTTCGAAGAACAACAACAATGTATAAATGCATAACGTTGCATTGAAATAGCTTAAGCTAAGGAGAATCATAGAAAGATAGGATTTATTCAATATTAACCCGTAAATAAAATTGTACTTTATTTAGAATTCTTTGCTTTAGAAAAATACTTTTATTATTTTGTTTGCAAGACTATGTAGAAGCAATCTTCTAAAAAAAAATTAGACAATAAAAATGGAAATAAAGGGTGCCTTTATTCAACCAGCAATGTCGAAGTTTGATGGTCACTACGATCATTGGGTGGTACTTATGAAAAATTTTCTTCAATCAAAAGAAGACTGGGGTGTGGTAGAAAATGAAGTTTTTGCAACAGCAGAAAAGTGTGACTCTAACTGATGCCCAAAAAAAATTTGTAAAGAGCAAAAGTTGAAGCATCTAAAAGTTAAGAAACATCTATTTTAGACATTAGATTGCTCTATTTTGGAGACAATCATTAACAAAGACACGTCAAAGAGAATTTAAGACTCCATAAAGTAGAAATATTAGGGACCAATGCGAGTAAAGCGTGCTCATCTACAGGCTTTGTGAAAGGAGTATGAAATTATTCACATGAACAAAGGAGAATTTGCGAACAAATACGTTGCTCGTGTTCTTATCATCACCAACAAGATGAAAGCAAATGGTGAGGATTTGAAAGATGTTGTTGTTGTGGAAAAGATTTTGAGGTCAATAATACCTAAGTTTAATTATGTCGTGTGTTCAATTGAAGAATCCAAGAATACAAGTATGTTGTTAATTGATGAGCTGCAAAGCAATTTGCTCGTGCACAAACAACGCATGAGTAACACTATACATGTAGAAGAAGAAGACAAAGCTTTGACAAAGCAACAATGGAATGTTATGCTTGCCAATAGCTTGGTCAATTTCAATGGGAATGCAACAAAGGAGTGGCCAATTTTTCAGAGAGTCAAGTAGAGAGTGAAGAACACATGTTGATGGCTTATGTTGAAGAAAAGGAGCAATACATAACAGACATGGTTTCTTGACTCTGGGTACAATAATCACATGTGTGGAAAAAGAGAATTTTTTTGAATTTTGATGAAAAATTTACATATTTGGTGAAGTTGGAAAATAATTCAAACATAGTGGTCAATGGGAAGGGTAAAATAAGGCTGGAAATTAATGGAGTTGTTAGCATCATCTCAGGAGTCTTTTATGTTCTGGAATTGAAGAATAATTTACTGAGTCTGGGACAATTGCAAGAGAAGGGGCTGAGCATTTTGTTTCAACAAGGGCAATGCAAAATATAACATTCTGATAAAAGTTTGACCATGAAAGCTAATATGTTTGCAAATTGAATGTTTATCTTGCATGTCATCTATTTGCCTATAGCACCCACTTGTTTTAACAGAGTCACAAAAGATGTGACATAGGTGTGGCATTGCAGATTTGGGCATTTAAGCTTCAAAGGCTTACAAACTTTGTAGCAAAAACAAATGGTGAAAGGTTTACCATTACTTAAGCCGCCCTTAAAGCTCTGCAAAGATTGCTTTGTGGGGAAACAACGTCGAGACTCATTTCCATTGAAGAGTACTTAGAGAGCATCAAAGGTTTTGTAGCTCATTCATGCCAATATTTGTAGATTGATTAAGCCAACCTCGAATACCAATAAAAGGTATTTGATTATTTTTCTTATGATTTTAGCCCAAAAATATGAGTATATAGAAAACTTAGAAGCTTTTACTATTTTTAAGAGCTTTAAGATACATGTCGAGAGAGCAACATATATATCTCTAAAAGGGATGGGATCATGGTAGAGAGTTTACATCTCAAGAATTCAATAATTTTTGCAATGAACATGGAGTGCAAAGATAATTGACAGTTGCATATTCACCGCAACAAAATAGCGTTACGAAACAAAAGAATTAAACTATCATGAATTTGATCTGTTGCATACTATTTGAAAAGAAAGTGTCCAAAACTCTATGGCCAAATGCAGTAAATTAGATTGTGCACATTTTAAATTGTAGTCCAATGCTGGTTGTAAAAGACAAAACACCTGAAGAAACCTAGAGTGGAATCAAGCTATCACTTCAACATTTTAGAATTTTTAGTTACGTCTCTAATGCTCACATGCCTGATAATTCAAGAACAAAACTAGATTAGAAAAGCATAAGGTGTGTTTTACTCAAAATTAGTGAGGAATCAAAGGCTTATAGGCTTCCTATCTCAAAAAGGATTTTAGTGAACAGAGATATAGTTTTTGAAGAAAGTGAAGAATGAGAATGGGATAAGTAACATGAATTAGTCATTTTTTGCTAGCTGGAATGCAAAAATGATGACAAGGATGTGATTGAAGAATCTCTTGTAGAAGAAGTTGTTGTTGATACACAATCAAAGAAGTCTTTTGCCACTAATCAAGAAACTTCTCCAGATTATGTGGAAGGGAGGAAGCAATCAACTTGGTTGAAGATTATGTATTAGGTGAAGGTTTATCTGATAAAGAGGCAATAACATTTTTTCTTCATGTACAGAGGTCGTTGATCCACTTGATTATGAAGAAGCTGTGAAGAGTGAAAGATGGAAAGTACCATGGATGGTGAGATTGAGGTTATTGAGAAAAATGGCACATGGGAATTAATCCATCGACCCAAAAGAGTCAAAACAGTTGGAGTAAAGTAGGTTTACAAGACTAAACTCAATGAAAAGGGAGAAGTCGACAAGTTTAAAGTGAGGTTGGTTGTAAAAGGATATGCTAATAAATATGGTATAGATTATACGTAAGTGTTTGCTTCGATGGCTTGTATGAAGACTGTTCGATTGGTGATTGCTTTAACAACACAAAAAGGGTGGATTATTCATCAATTAGATGTGAAGTCTACCTTTTTGCAAGGAGAACTAGTTGAAGATGTTTTTGTTGAGCAACCTTGTGGTTACATTCAAAAAGGAAAGGATGAGAAAATGTATAAGCTAAAGAAAGTTCTTTATGGGCTTAAACAAACTCTACGTGCTTGGTAACCATATTTCATGAAGGAATGTTTTTAAAAATGTGAATATGAGCATACCTTTTTTGTTAAACGAAACACTGAGGAGAACATGCTCATCATAAGTTTAGTTTATATGTTGATGATATTCTTTTCACATAAAATGATGAGTTGATGTTTATTAAGTTTAAGAACTCGATGAAGCACAAGTTTGATATGACTGATCTTGATAAAATGAAATATTTTTTTGGGTCTCAAAGTCTTGTAGAAATCAAGTGAAATTTTTATTGGTCAAAGAAAGTATGCTTAGGAGATGTTTACACATTTTAAAATGAATTAAAGCAATTTTGTTCAAACTCCAATGGTTCTTGGTTTCAAGCTTTGCAAGGATGAAGAGGGAATTAAGGTGGACAAGACTCACTTCAAACAAATTGTTGGTTGTCTTATGTATCTTACTGCACTTATCCAAATGATATTTGTAGTAAGTCTCTTGAGATATATAGAGAATCCTACTTAGCTTCATTTATAACTAGTAAATAGAGTGATAAGGTATTTGCAAGGAACAAGAGTATGGAATTTTCTATAAAAGGGAGAAAATGATGGTTTTATAACATACATTGATAGTGATTATGCAAGTGACTTAAATGATAGAAAAAAATGTATCAGGATTTGTTTTTCTCTTTGGTTTAGGAGTTGTATCATGATTTTCTAATAAATAACCTATTGTGAGTTTGTCTACTACTGAAGCTGGATTTATTATTGTTGTTGTGTGTGCTTGTTATAAGTAGTTCTGCAATCAAGCTCTTAAGAAACCCAGTAATCCATAGTAATAGCAAGCATATAAATATTCGTTTCTATT